AATCTTTGTATTCTAAATGGGGAAAAAGAGGGCGCCCAAGAAAACAAAGATCAACCAAATCTCGGAACCAATGGCCGGGAGAGATATAAATGTAATTATAGAGCAATATCAAGAAAAGCTATCAATTATGTATCCAACGGGGCGGAAGAACCGACCACCAGTACTTGATACCATGATACGGACGTAATCTAAGTAAACTATAGGTAAAAATATAATATTAATCATAAGCTAAAATGCACTAATCTTTGTATTCTAAATGGGGAAAAAGAGGGCGCCCAAGAAAACAAAGATCAACCAAATCTCGGAACCAATGGCCGGGAGAGATATAAATGTAATTATAGAGCAATATCAAGAAAAGCTATCAATTATGTATCCAACGGGGCGGAAGAACCGACCACCAGTACTTGATACCATGATACGGACGTAATCTAAGTAAACTATAGGTAAAAATATAATATTAATCATAAGCTAAAATGTACTAATCTTTGTATTCTAAATGGGGAAAAAGAGGGCGCCCAAGAAAACAAAGATCAACCAAATCTCGGAACCAATGGCCGGGAGAGATATAAATGTAATTATAGAGCAATATCAAGAAAAGCTATCAATTATGTATCCAACGGGGCGGAAGAACCGACCACCAGTACTTGATACCATGATACGGACGTAATCTAAGTAAACTATAGGTAAAAATATAATATTAATCATAAGCTAAAATGTACTAATCTTTGTATTCTAAATGGGGAAAAAGAGGGCGCCCAAGAAAACAAAGATCAACCAAATCTCGGAACCAATGGCCGGGAGAGATATAAATGTAATTATAGAGCAATATCAAGAAAAGCTATCAATTATGTATCCAACGGGGCGGAAGAACCGACCACCAGTACTTGATACCATGATACGGACGTAATCTAAGTAAACTATAGGTAAAAATATAATATTAATCATAAGCTAAAATGTACTAATCTTTGTATTCTAAATGGGGAAAAAGAGGGCGCCCAAGAAAACAAAGATCAACCAAATCTCGGAACCAATGGCCGGGAGAGATATAAATGTAATTATAGAGCAATATCAAGAAAAGCTATCAATTATGTATCCAACGGGGCGGAAGAACCGACCACCAGTACTTGATACCATGATACGGACGTAATCTAAGTAAACTATAGGTAAAAATATAATATTAATCATAAGCTAAAATGCACTAATCTTTGTATTCTAAATGGGGAAAAAGAGGGCGCCCAAGAAAACAAAGATCAACCAAATCTCGGAACCAATGGCCGGGAGAGATATAAATGTAATTATAGAGCAATATCAAGAAAAGCTATCAATTATGTATCCAACGGGGCGGAAGAACCGACCACCAGTACTTGATACCATGATACGGACGTAATCTAAGTAAACTATAGGTAAAAATATAATATTAATCATAAGCTAAAATGTACTAATCTTTGTATTCTAAATGGGGAAAAAGAGGGCGCCCAAGAAAACAAAGATCAACCAAATCTCGGAACCAATGGCCGGGAGAGATATAAATGTAATTATAGAGCAATATCAAGAAAAGCTATCAATTATGTATCCAACGGGGCGGAAGAACCGACCACCAGTACTTGATACCATGATACGGACGTAATCTAAGTAAACTATAGGTAAAAATATAATATTAATCATAAGCTAAAATGTACTAATCTTTGTATTCTAAATGGGGAAAAAGAGGGCGCCCAAGAAAACAAAGATCAACCAAATCTCGGAACCAATGGCCGGGAGAGATATAAATGTAATTATAGAGCAATATCAAGAAAAGCTATCAATTATGTATCCAACGGGGCGGAAGAACCGACCACCAGTACTTGATACCATGATACGGACGTAATCTAAGTAAACTATAGGTAAAAATATAATATTAATCATAAGCTAAAATGTACTAATCTTTGTATTCTAAATGGGGAAAAAGAGGGCGCCCAAGAAAACAAAGATCAACCAAATCTCGGAACCAATGGCCGGGAGAGATATAAATGTAATTATAGAGCAATATCAAGAAAAGCTATCAATTATGTATCCAACGGGGCGGAAGAACCGACCACCAGTACTTGATACCATGATACGGACGTAATCTAAGTAAACTATAGGTAAAAATATAATATTAATCATAAGCTAAAATGTACTACAAAGAACTGTCAGCTCGAATTCAAAAGGCCTCTGGGGCATTCTATCAGCTCAGCAGTATATGGTACAGTCGCAACATCAAAACTCCAACTAAAATCAGGATTTACAAAGCGGCTGTTCTCACTATACTGCTTTATTGAAGTGAGGTATGGAATACCACACAGACGCAGATGAAAAGATTTGAGGTGTTCCATGATAGATGTCTGAGGAGAATCCTGAAAATAAAATGGTTTTATCATGTATCTAATGCTGATGTACTTAAGCGGGCTAACATCGCCCCTGTTGATACTTTCGTACGAGCAGCTAGACTCCGATGGTTTGGCCATGTGGTGAGGATGCCAGAAGAAAGAATACCCAACTATCTACTGCACTGGATCCCAAAGCATGGTAAAAGGTCAAGAGGTAGACCTCGGAAAAACTGGTTGTCATGTGTCCGGGAGGATGCAGCAATCTTCACAGGTGTCGATAACATCACGATAGAAGATGCAGAACAACAAGCTACAGACAGGGTTCACTGGAGAGGTCTAATACACCGGAGAAAGGAGTTACTATGTGGTGCAGGCCACTCCAACGACTAGGAGGAGACCTTTTCAAGTACAAGTAAGTAGAAGGAGGAATTTCACTGTAATTAATTAACACATGGCTAGCGTCGGACGCAGCATAACATACGCTTCTTATACACTTAATTATAGGGGAGTGGTCTATATTCGATTATATTGCGAAGGAGCAGACTAGACTTTGGCGACACCGTAGGTCCATCGGGCCACCTCATATATCCAAACCCGATTACTTATTCCCTACGATCTTTTTGCCTTCGGCAAGAGTAGGGAAAAAATTAAAATAATTTTAAGAATAATTGACTTTGTTTTTTAAATTTTTAAAATGGACGGCGTTTTTGTAACTTGATTTGAAATACGCGGCGATATTAAACAAGAATTGCGCCCGTTGTTTCGTTTTGGCGGACGCTAGATTTCCATTTCACTATAAGTATAACTATTAATATAAGCTCTAATCAGCTCACCTTATAATAATAATATTGAAACATCAGTAGACTACGCGTGCCACATTCAAGTTGGGCTTATTACAAAATACTATACATTACTAGTATACATTAAAATACGCTAGTGCCGCGCATTCATTGACCACAGACTAGCTATACACCACATCTCCGCAAGCAATCCCCGTGCGCGCGCGCGCGGCAAGTTGACATGGAAACGAACGGAAGCAAGTAAGGAACACGACATATATTTGACCCACCTACCGCTATTTCCAAAATCCACGTTTTTCTGCAAAAACGTCCATTCGTAACCTTTCACTATTGCCTTTTTTCAAAAGGGTGAAAAGGAAAAAATGTTGGCAGTGTAATTGATGAGATATGCGTCATGCGATGGATTTTATTGAGTGATGCTTAAGGGGGCATACACCAAATCTGTCCAGACCAAATGACCTCATAAACAGTTCAGTGACCTTCTAGCGCACCGTTTCCACACCAAAAAAATTATTTTGAGAATACCCATTTTTGTAATCGAGCATTTCCTGGGTGAGACGCTATAAGTTAATCATTTCCTGCGGTATCGAGTTGAAATTTTGCTCGCCGTTTATTCACATCTATTTCAAGGTGTGTGTAAAATCTTGATATCGTATCTAAAAAGGCTGGTGTGTTATGAATTTTTAAAGTCAAAAAGCTAAAATTGTCCTTTTCAGGCTTATTTTAACAAAAAGACAGTCAGGAAAGATCGGATTGAATTGATGCTTGACATCAAATTGTTCTCTGAATTCTGGCGCAGTTTTTGATACCCTCAAAAATGTTTTTACTCATTCAGCTTCAGATTTTGGCTTTGCAGATAAAAAATCACATTTTCTCCCATAACTTCAAAGGGAAGCATTTTAGGGTGTTTTGTTGTTCATAACTCATATATAAATGTGCTAGTTGCGGTTATTTTGCACCCTTCAAAAAGTCACTAGCACATTCCTATCAAAATTTTAGAAAAATCAGTAAATTTTAAAAACGAAAAAATGTGCCTAAATTTGTTGTTTGGCTTTGAGGTCCAATAGATCTGAAGCTGAATGAGTAAAAACATTTTTGAGGGCATCAAAAACTACGCCAGAATTCAGAGAACAATTTGATGTCAAGCATCAATTCAATCCGATCTTCCCTGACTGTCTTTTTGTTAAAATAAGCCTGAAAAGGACAATTTTAGCTTTTTGACTTTAAAAATTCATAACACACCAGCCTTTTTAGATACGATATCAAGATTTTACACACACCTTGAAATAGATGTGAATAAACGGCGAGCAAAATTTCAACCCGATACCGCAGGAAATGATTAACTTATAGCGTCTCAACCACAAAATAATTTTTTCCGAAAATTGCACTCTCAACCAGGAAATGCTCGATTACAAAAATGGGTATTCTCAAAATAATTTTTTTTGGTGTGGAAAGGGTGCGCTAGAAGGTCACTGAACTGCCTATGAGGTCATTTGGTCTGGACGGCACAAACCACTGTTTTGGTGTATGCCCCCTTAAGTGTGTGCATATAATCTAAGATGTAGAGACAAGGTTATTATCGCGGCATTTTGGTTTATGTTTTATAAATGTTCAGGTTAAATACCGTATTTAATTTAACTACCTTGTCGGACTTTATTTGAGCGGACATTAAAATGAACGCTAGGGCCTCCAGCGTCCAATTAATGTCCGTTCAAATAATTATAAAGTCCGATAAGGTATATCTTTCATCCTGTGATTGTGAGACTGAGATACCATAAACAAGGTGGTGAGATCATGCCGTCACTATTCCGTTTTAGTCTAACAAAAATTAACTCTCTGATGCCTCAGCAGAACTATGGTCTTCCTGAAATTGATGGTGTTCTCTGTGGTGATCATGCTCGCTTCAAGCAAGAAGGGGGGCAAGAAGGGGAGGTTCCGCAGTTTAACAGCTCTAGTCGAACAGCAGACAAAGAGGATCAGTGAAATTACAAACAGACAGACAGTGATCGAGGAGAAATTAGTGAAGGAAATTGAAGCACTAAAAGAAACATTTGCCGAGGAATTGAAGTAAGTAAACAGTTTATAGTATTAGTACTAGTTATTGTTAAACTTAATGTTATTTAAATTCACAAGGTAAATCCTAGTGGCATTGCAATTAATTCAAATTGAAGTTGATTTATCAAAAGATAACTTGCAAATTTAAACCCTCTTCATCTCAGAGCCAGAAAGAATGACGTGATGGTGGTAAGCGGAGAGGAGGATCTGAGGGAGGAGCGCTGTGCGAAAGTGTGTGCTGGAACCTCAGGCAGAGGGGCTACCAACTGGGTGGATTACAGCTTGAACTCGAACGGACTTTACGCAGACGTTGACATCAGCAAGTGTGGGTTCCTGACAATTCCAACGGTGACTACCTCTCTTGAGTTCACCTCCTCTCATTGGAGTAGGATAGGGGCCTCGGAGATAACCAGAGTGACTACCGGCAGTTTTAGGATCTTCCTGGCGCATCCACCTGCCAGAGGCGGTGCTGCGAATGAATGGGGTTGGAATGTGGAGTGGATCGCGGTGGGTTATACCTGCTGAAGTTTCTACTGGTTCCAAATGCATGAGCCTTTATTTAATTGTTAAACTTAAAGTTTTTACATTAAAGAAAAGAATGATTAATAATGGATGTTTATAGTTTTAAATTTTATTGCACGAACAGTAGTTTTATTGAAAAATACCATTTACTAATTATTCCATCGCCGACAAAAATTGAAATAAAAGTGATGTTGAATTGGTTTATTTTTTGTTCTAAGTCTAAACTTACTGGGCGCTGCACAACCTGTTATTCCGGAAAATCAGCCTATCAATCACAGTGCTGGCAAGCACGACCGCCGCCATTATACTCACTATACTATTTACCCCGTATACTATTATACCCCCTTCACTGTTTTCCATACATTAAGACTCACCGAAAGTAGTTCAGCAGGCATATTTTAATTTCAAAACATTCTGCTTCAATATCAAAAATGACAGGAATAAGTAATTCAAAATACGCGCCAGCACTATGACAATGCCCTCAAAAAGATATGTGTCTTTGTTTGATGATAGTCTCAGATAGTAACTATACTACTAGTGCTACTACGTACCATATGAGCAATTTCTCCTTGAGGAAGAAGTAGGATAACAGCACTGTGAAGATAGGAGCAGTGGTCAGGAGAAGAGTGGCTTCACCTGCAGTAGTTTATTTAGGGGTACATATTACGTAATCAGCTTAGGGGGGAGGGGGTACATATAACGTAATCAGCCGAGGGGGGGGGGGGGGGGGAGGGTCGCTTCACATGCAGTTGTTTATTTAGGGGTACATATTATTATTACGTAATCAGCCGAAGGGGGAGGGGGTACATATTACGAAATCAGCCGAGGGGGAGGGGGGGGGGGGTTCCCGAATGATCACGCTAGTGTAATTTTGACACAATAGCTATGTGTAAAACTAATTCCAAAAAGTGATATTATGTGAACGACCCCTCAATAAATTTACCTGCTCAGTCTAGTCCAGTATAATTTTAATAGTTTATCTTTTTAATCGATATTATTAGTTTTAAACTTATGGCAACACTAAAATCTATTAAATTTATAGAGTTTTATTATTTTATTAAAACTCATTTTTGGGTACTGGTAGAGTGGACTGCTGCCAGTGTCTCTCTTTCCAAAATTAAAGGAAATGATATCAATTTGAATAAATTTTGATATTTCAAAATGGGACAGAAATTTGAAAATAGTACTAGTTGTAAGCTTCCTCCGACCGGAATGAAACTTCCAGCACCTCAATTGTGTCCTATGCCACTTCATAATAGTTGACCGACTAATATTATAATTGGTCACCGGAAGAGAAATTCGGTCAAAACTGTGAAATTTCGGTTCTAGAAATTTCATCTTCAAAAACTGAAAATGGAACTGAGAATGGGAAAATTAAATAATTTGTTTCACCTCTAAATGAAAAGCTTTGATATAGTGATTGGTTGTTAAAACAAGCATACCAATTGGTAAATGTCGTAGAGCAAAGACAGTGGACATAGCAGTAAATGTACCAAGTAAGGCTGTTAGGAATATCATGTTGGTTTTGGGATACTCCATAGGGTTCTGGTATCTGAAATAATAATTACTACTAATAATTTCTACTAATTAGTTTTGATGATAGTTTATTAAAACTGTAAAAGGTTTAAACATTAAAGATTGTAAGTTTAGGTTGAATCTTACCCTTTGTAGAAATTGATTAGAGACGTCAGAGCAAGTGTAAAGAAGAATCGCCACCACAAAATCTCTATTATTGGTAAACCGCTGATCAAATCTGAATGATAAATGAGCATTTAGCAAAGCTAGTTAGAAAATATACATTGCTGATCACGATTAATTTACAGTACGTCCACTGGTCAGCTGCGTTATTCTTACCACCTGACTTGATACACAACAAATTGACACAACGAATGGACCAATCTGGGTGAATAGTCAAGTTTTTGCAAAGTACGTGATACTTGTACCCTGTACCCTGTACCCTGTACCCTGTACCCTGTACCCTGTACCCTGTACCCTGTACCCTGTACCCTGTACCCTGTACCCTGTACCCTGTACCCTGTACCCTGTACCCTGTACCCTGTACCCTGTACCCTGTACCCTGTACCCTGTACCCTGTACCCTGTACCCTGTACCCTGTACCCTGTACCCTGTACCCTGTACCCTGTACCCTGTACCCTGTACCCTGTACCCTGTACCCTGTACCCTGTACCCTGTACCCTGTACCCTGTACCCTGTACCCTGTACCCTGTACCCTGTACCCTGTACCCTGTACCCTGTACCCTGTACCCTGTACCCTGTACCCTGTACCCTGTACCCTGTACCCTGTACCCTGTACCCTGTACCCTGTACCCTGTACCCTGTACCCTGTACCCTGTACCCTGTACCCTGTACCCTGTACCCTGTACCCTGTACCCTGTACCCTGTACCCTGTACCCTGTACCCTGTACCCTGTACCCTGTACCCTGTACCCTGTACCCTGTACCCTGTACCCTGTACCCTGTACCCTGTACCCTGTACCCTGTACCCTGTACCCTGTACCCTGTACCCTGTACCCTGTACCCTGTACCCTGTACCCTGTACCCTGTACCCTGTACCCTGTACCCTGTACCCTGTACCCTGTACCCTGTACCCTGTACCCTGTACCCTGTACCCTGTACCCTGTAGTGGGGCACTGACCTGTGAACAAGGAGCAGATAGCGAAGAAAAAGCAAGATAACACAGTATAACCGTACACTTTAGTTTCGTCAGAAACTCCGTTCACAGCTTCTGTAACCTTTCTGTTTAGCCTGATGGTGGAACCATTTCATTAATGATATAGAATTAATCACCTAATCAATATTTTTGAAATAGTAAGAAAATATCAATATCTGCTTATTACCCTGAAATTTGGAACCAATAGTTCACTATTTCTACCACGAATAGAATTTCAGTCAACTTACCACGACTGCTCGATGTAGAGGTACAAGTTTTGGACTAAATCTTTTACGCCCATAAACCATTTCTGAAAATGAATGCATTTTTTTCCTTCAAAACTGTAGACCAATATCAACGGCGACTTGTATAATAGTAAGTGCGGTACAGGATAGTAGATATCGCCCAGATGAACTTCATGATTCACGTACTCTAGTTCGACACGCACTATACAGTTCGACACTATACAGTTCGCCAGATATCACCCCTGTCGAGCTTCGGTACGTGTCGAACTAAAGTCTAGGTAGCGTACTCTAGTTCGACAAATAGTTTCTGCTTGTGATCCAATAGCTATTGCCGGGTCCTCATCATAGGATCACAGGGTTCAATGGTAGATAAAACAATGTTCTGACATCTAGCAACCAGCGGTTAGAAATTCCAGAACCTTTCAGTATAGTTTCAATCCTCCTGTTTGCCACTCAGTTCTGGTCTAGCTAAAACGAAAATAAATTGATATCCGACTGTTTCCGGTTCAGCAGCCAAATCTCTAGACCGGTACTCGGTTACTAGTCGTTTGTGATAATATAAAGTGTGCGTATGTGGTATATATTTATATAACGTACTCTACAGTCTAGATCTTTGAAACGAAGTACGAGTTACCACGATAGTCTTTTAATTCTCCGCTAAGTTTATGGTCGACAATGCAATGCAATTCTGCTAACTAACAATTGAGTATGAGGTCAATTAGATGTTCATAGATATGGATTATATAGATTACATTCACACACACAGTTGAACAGCATGAGGCAAGTGGAAAAAAAAAACAAACGAATAGATTTCAAGCTCGTAAAGGATCGTTGCTTGAGATCGTAGATTTCAAAACTCTAGTTCGACAGTAAAAGTTCTCTCCTCGAACTTTAGTTCTTGTCGAACTTGAGTCCAGGTAGCGCACTTTAGTTCGACAGAGTCGAACCTTAGGGTTTGTCGAACTACAGTACATGTCGAACTACAGTACGTGTCGAACTTTAGTTCTTGTCGAACTTGAGTCCAGGTAGCGCACTTTATTTCGACAGAGTCGAACCTTAGGGTTTGTCGAACTGCAGTACGTGTCGATCTACAGTCTACAGTACGTGTCGAACTTTAGTTCTTGTCGAACTTAAGTCCAGGTAGCGCACTTTAGTTCGACAGAGTCGAACCTTAGGGTTTGTCGAACTACAGTACGTGTCGAACTACAGTACGTGTCGAACTTTAGTTCTTGTCGAACTTGAGTCCAGGTAGCGCACTTTAGTTCGACAGAGTCGAACCTTAGGGTTTGTCGAACTACAGTACGTGTCGAACTACAGTACGTGTCGAACTTTAGTTCTTGTCGAACTTGAGTCCAGGTAGCGCACTTTAGTTCGACAGAGTCGAACCTTAGGGTTTGTCGAACTACAGTACGTGTCGAACTAGAGTACGTGTACCGAACGTCCTACCGGCTACCTTAACAGTCAGATTGACCACACTGAGGTTGTCTTGAGTCCTCACGATGATATCCTTTATCCCTTCCTTAGCTCTGCCCCTGTACACTACCCAGTTGTAATACCATGTAGATTCGTCAACTCTCATGCTCTCCATACATCAAGCTTTGTGGTATATTGTAGACGCCAGGCAACTGAGTTGTGTATAGTTGATATATTGTAGTGTCATCATTGTTTTAACTTTTTAATTAATGATTAAAACTTTAAACTTGGATTAGAAAAGTGCGAACTTTGAAACTAACTAAAACGGTTTTGTATTTACCTCAAATCAAAATGGTGATTTTACGAAGTACTTAATAAAAGCAATAGTGTTGAAAGTAAAGCAGCGACACGCGGGTACAGAATGAGCAGCAGCACGAAATAACACGAGATTTTATAAAAACACAAGGAAATTAGCCGTGATTAGTGAAGTGGTCTAACTCAAAATGCATTTTGGATGTTATAATCTGATTAAATATTCTCCCAGCAATCGTGATGTTGATTTTGACGGTATTATTCATGCAGTAGGTAATTATCCTAAAGAGGGGAATAAATCAGTTATCGACTGAAGCATTAACGGGTGATACTCGTAAAATATCTGTTCCATATATTGGACCGTCGACGAGTCCAACTCGGCGCGCGTCCTGGTAGGTTGTAAACCTACAACTGAAGCATTAACTCAGATTTGATGCGATACGATTGATTGGGTCATGCCAATCGATCGTATGATAAAATTATAACTGTAAGGTGTTTTGTGAACATCAGTAGGAATATTATTATTGTAATATTTTGAGATCGATTTTAATCGCTCGCCCTGAAAATCGACCTTCAAAATCTATCTGCTCCTACAGTTTTTGTGCAATGACCCTGAAACTTTCAGGATATTATGTTCTAGGGATCATTTAGAAGAGATTTCCCGAACAGAATGTTTAGATATGCCTTTCTTTAAATTGATTCGATTTTAAAATTGTATGAATATCGTGTTCCACAATTTGCTGCTAATAACAATAACATAAGTTTAGATAAGTTGCACGAGCTTAACATTAATAATATAGCTCACCTATATAGTGTCAATAATTATGAAGACCCGCACGGTGGGACTACGAGCGTGACGGTTATCCGTCGAAATGTTTGGTTTGCGTGACGACCGCAATGTGAGTCACGACAACGAATGATCTTGACTGATGCAGGTCATGTGCCAATAACGTATTCACTGCTCTGAGAGTCTGAGACCCTATGAGGCTTAGTGTGGCCAGCCGCTGTTTTTATTTTGTTACGGGCCCGAATATACACCCCGATATACGGGCCCGAATATACACCCCGATATACGGGCCCGAATATACACCCCGATATACGGGCCCGAATATACACCCCGATATACGGGCCCCAATGTACACCCCGATATACGGGCCCGAATATACACCCCGATATACGGGCCTGAATATACACCCCGATATACGGGCCCCAATATACACCCCGATATACGGGCCCGAATAGCCGAATATACACTCCGATATACGGGCCCGAATATACACCCCGATATACGGGCCCCAATATACACCCCGATATACGGGCCCAATATAGCTGAAGTTGATTTTGTGTTGCTGTGTTGTGGTGCATTTAATGCATGGAAATATAATTGTCCAAAGAATTAAATCGAACTGTCGAAGACAGTTAACTTAGAAAGACAATTAACTTTGAAAGGAGTCATAGTCTTACGTAATGTTTTCAACTGAGTTTCATGCAGAAAATTCAAGATGCATAATTATAAACCAAAAACATATAATTATCCTCATAGTGCATAGAAGGTTTTAAAATTAGATGATCATACAATATTATGACTCAAAGTACTCGATTTCAATCTGTTGAGGGATTGTGATCCAGCTTGATAAGTTGCCCTCTTTTGTTTTTTAATCAAATATTTAAAGCCTAAATCAGAATTCTGCACCATATCCTAATTCTACAAATAGTTTATTTTAAAACGCTCAGTGTAGTGCTTCA